GCTGACCCCCCCCGAGCGCACCTGCTGTGCCAGCTGCAGCAGCTCCATGCGCTCCCGTAGGATCTGGGCATCCCGCTCCCGCAGCTCGCTCATGACCTGGCGCTTCCACTGCTCCACAGCCACCTTGAGCTTCTCGCGCTCCTCCTCCGACAGGATCTCGGCCACTTTGGCCCCGGCCTCCTGCTGCAGGGCGTCGTACAGCATGGCCTCCAGCTCCAGGATGTGCTGGGGTGGGAGGGGACACGTTAGTCTGGTCTGCTGGTCAAAGGGAGCCCCGTGATCCCTGGGGTGGCAGCACCTCCAAGCCACCCCACAGAGGGGCCTGTTTCCTCCTCGACCAGCTTATGTGACCTGTAGAGTGGAAACCCAGTGCAGGAGTCGTTATGACAAGAGCATTCACTTCTACACGGGTTTTGACATGTGCAATAAAACTTTGGAGGTAGAGTCTTAGCTCCTGCTAACGTCTGGAAAACGGGTAAGCAGATATTCGAGACCAGACTAGGGGGAGAGCTCTGAGGGAGCCGGAGGACCGGACACTGAGGTAAGGCCTCTTCCTTGGCTCATGGCCTTCCTCAAACCCTAGGTATATGAGCCCCAAAGAAGGAAGAAGGGCAGCGCTCACAGGGGTTTGCCTGATGTAAGGACAGAAGTGGGGGAGGTCCTTGACTTTCAGCCTCTCGCTGGGGAGGCCGGGCCACTCTGTGGTCCTCAGTGCCTGGGTCAGTCATGTCCCCAAGAGATACGTTCAGGTCCTGATCCCTGGAGCTCATGAATGTGGCCTTATTTGGAACTAGGGTCTCTGCAGCTGTCCTCACGTTAGGATGGAATCATACTGGATGGAGGAGGCATCCAGCGATCCAGTGGCTCATGTCCTTACAAGGAGAGGGGGCTTGGAGGCAGTCACAGAGGCCATGGGGGGGAAGCCATGTGAAGAGGAGGCAGAGGCTGGGGGACACCTGGAGCCCCCAGGAGCTGGAGGAGGCAGGAAGGACCCTCACTGGGGCCTCAGAGGGAGCGCATCCCTGCTGACACCTGGTTTCAGCCTGGCCTGCTGGGCTCTGGGTGCCCCTTTCTCTCAGCTGCTCCCTGTTGCCTCGGACATGGCCTCACCTTCGGGGGCCACCAGGCCCCATTTGCCTGCTGTGCTCACCTCCCGGCTTCATCGCCTCCACTCTGCAGATGATGAGTCCTGAGAACGCCTGCTCCCTGTGCCTGGTGTGCCCTGCCCAGCCCAGGTTCGGACCCCACCCCCGCAGAGCTGTCCAGTGCCCAACCCTCCTTGAGGCAACTGCTCTGTTGGCCCCAGGTCAGGAGATAAGTGGGCTCGTGCAATGTGCACGCGGTCCCGCTGGGGACAGTGGGGTCCAGACCCTGCAGGGGGCTCCAGGGTTCAGGCTTCACCCCGCTCCTGAGGGCTCGGACACAGAGAACCCCTCATGCCGCTGGTCCCCAAACACGTGCTGCCCCACAGCTAGGGGCCACGGCGCTCACCACAGATCTCAGGGGAATGACCCGTGGTCCCCTAGATCCCCCCACGAGAACACCCAAGAGAAGCCGAGAAGCTGACCGGCTGAGTGCGAGCCAGGCCCTGGGACCCCCAGGCCGGGGCTGAAGCCGAGGCTGATGTGGGAGAAGGCTGAACAGGGGCCACGGGCCTGGCAGGGCCAAGGAGAGAGCCGCGTAGGGCATGGGGCTCACCCCTCTGCCGCCTTCCAGAAATCCAGCGCCAACCAATGCAAAGTGACCCCTTTGCGGCAACTCAGCAGACAAAACGCATACCTTGTTATAAATTCCTAAGGACTTACCAATTGGATCCGGAATACTTTTAAAGCTTTTTCCTCCAGAGATTTTCCTGATGCAATCTTTGAAAAAACCAAATTCCTAAACTACAGAAACCCATCCTCCCAACAAAAATGTAACCTCTTCAGAAATGAAGGGTCTTTTCTTCAGGCAAAATGATTATGAAAAGTCCTTTCAGCTTTAGTAGACATTTTAGGGAATAAAAACAAATCCTTTGGACCTCACATTTTATTGTTCTTGACAGCCACAAAATAAACTGTCCCCAGCTGTCCCCAGCAGCTCACACTCCCCATCAGCCACTTCTTAGAGCACAGGTGCTTAGGCGGTTAAGATAAGCTCAAGCATTTAAAAATAAATAAGATGCAGTTGGGGGTGTGGGGGGTGCTTAGCGCTGGCACCTCAAAGGCTTCGCACAAAGCTGCAAACGAGAGGTGCGGTGACCTTCTCCCCCTACCTGAGCACCAGCCACGGGCCCCCTGCAGGGTACCAGCAACTTCCCGAGAGCGGCCACCATGCAGCAGGGACCATCGTTTCCCCTTCGAAACCCCCACCATCACCTTGAGTCCACAGAGCAGGGAGGGTGTGAAGCCGGGGCAGGGGTCCGCAGCCCTGCAGCCCCCCGAGGGCTCCCTGCTCTCTGGGATGCAAGTGCACGCGTGTGTGATATTCAGCCCTCTCTGACGCCCCGCACACTGATCCGTCTTTTCAACACTGATGCCACATATTCCTGAGCTGTATCCTGAGGAATGCCCGGGGCCTAGGGTAGGGGTGAGCTGTCCCCTCCATGCATGTGTCTGGGATGCAGCGGTGGGGGGCTCAGGGCTGTCCAGCTGCCCCCCAAATACTGCGAGCATCCTTCCCACCCAACACTGTGGACTGGAAACAGGGATCTTGGCCCATATTTCTGGGAAGGTCCATCAGTGCCCGTTCGGCTCTCCAAGGCCACTGCCCTCCACCACCTCCTCTATGGCCGCCCCCACTGGTGGTGAGTGGGCCACCGGCACCTCCACCGTCACCGAGGAGAGGAAGCCCACCCTCAGCTTGGGCAGAAGCTCTGCCCTGCCCCACGGGGCCCTGATGGGGTTAATGGAAACATCACGCTGTCAGCTTCCAGGCTGGGCAGGACCCGCTGGTGCCCTATGTGCTCTCCGCACAACTACCTCGCTCTCCTAACACTCCAGACGGCGGGCACTCAGACCTCTACTTACCACGCGGGATGTCCCTGGCCTCAGGCGTCCTGCTAGGGGAAGGGTCCGTTCCCAACCCCTCGCCTCACAAGGGCCCCTGGACAGCTTTCCCTGAGCTGGCGCCATGACTCGCTCTGAGTCTAAGGACTGGCAGTCCAGGCGGACACAAAGGCAGGCCTGGAAGCACCGTGCCGGGAGGTGGCATGGACTCAGGGTGTAACTGACTGCCGGGAAGAAGTGTGGGCGTCCCACCTCCGGGAAGCGCCCCCATGCTGCGCCTCGCCTTGGCTGGACTAATCTGAGCAGCAAGGATGCGGTACCCGATCCGGATTCACCTCTTGAAACAAAGCAGCCGGAAGCTCCAGAGATTTCTCCTTGTCAAACCAGGGTCAGTGAGGACTGCATCACCGTGGTGGAGACGTGTCCACAAGGACTCCCAATCTCCGTGTTAACCCCAAGTGGGGACGCCCAGGTTTATCAGCGGAGGCAAGTGCTCCCCACGGCCAGGCAGATGTGCGGGCAGACACAATGGGCAGACACAACGTCCATTCCTCGGAGTAGCAGGCGCACTCTCACAGGAAGTCCCAGAGACTGTTTCTTGCAAACATTCAACCGTGCTCAATTAATTTATAAATGCGTTATGTGTCAATGAATCCCATTTTCTCAGCTCATTTTAAAACATCCATTTGAGTTCTGCATTCACGGGGCGAAGTGTTTGCTGCCGGACCAGGAAGGCATCCCTGGACCTCACTGACCAGGAGGGAGAAGTGCAGAAACTGGTCCCACGGTGGTCATACTGGACCCAGACCCCGAGGGATACCACACAGCGTGTGAACACTTTCCCCATTTCTACCCGAAATCTGCACGCTCCTGCTGTCGGTTTCTCTTACCTTGTGAGCCTGGTCCAAGGACTGCTTCCTATAATCCAGCTCTTCATCCAGGTAGCCCTTCTGCTTACTGAACAGCTCCTGAAACACAAGAGGACCCGTGTCTCAGCCTCAGGCATCCGCCCGGTGACGCCGTGTGCAGACACAAAGCAAGACGCCCACCAACCTTCTCACTCTCCAGGTCAACCATCTTCCGATGCAGGGCCGACTCTGTCTCTTCGATCTGCTGGAGCCACTGGACACAAACCGAAAGAGCAGGTGATAGTGACCTTTCGGGTGGCCACACAGGCACCAAACTGAGAGTGGGGACTGGGTTGGCACTGTGAGCCCCAGGTGCCCAGCGTCCAGACAGCCCCACGTGGTGTCCAGGAAGTCTGTCCCCCACTTCCCCAGGGAGAGAAGGGTCATGAGCAGGGGTTTGGCAGGGACAGGTGCACCTGAGCGCTCAGCCAGCAGAGGTCCTCCCTCAGTCCCATCCCCTGCACCCCTGCTTGCCGGGACTCCCTCTCCCCTTCCCGCTGGAGGACTCCCAGGCAGGCTCTGGCTGTGGGGTGGGGGCCAGGGACCGGCTGCAGGTAAGGAGCCCAGGTGGGCTGGGCAGCCCCCAGGGGAGGGTCCTGGTGGGGTGAACAGAAAGCCAATGGTATACAGACCCACTCCATTGCCTGGCCTTTGGAGGGGGAAACTGAGGCAGAGTTGGCCTTGAGACAAAGCCTGGCTGATCTGTTACCCGCAAACACAGGTGGTGGGTGTTGTTTGACCCCTGCGTGTGTGGGACCTCCCAGGCTGACAGGATTCATGGACTCTCCACCCCACACCCCGGGAGCCCCTCCTCCAGGGAAGGCACCCTCTCCCAGCTGAGCCTGGCCCTGTCCCAGGAGCGGCCACACAGCTGCTGTTACCTTTTCAGCCAAGGTTAGGACTGTCCTAGCTTGTATGACGACCACTTGCTCCTCATTGGTCAGATTCTGCACCCAAAGCAGACATGGGTACAGTAAGGGGGCTGCACCAG